GAGAGAGATGCTCCCTCTCATAGGCTGTGATTGCCGGTGCGTCAAAGAAGTAAAAGAATACGCTGGCAATGGTGGGACTTGATCCAAGCTTGGCAAAACCAACGGTGAATTTTGTGACATATAGCTCCGAGTCTGCTTTCCTTCCTTCTTCTTGGGTGTCGTACCAGGAGACCTGCTAACGGCGCCGGGAGATGACTGGGATACTGCAGTCGGAGAATCAATACCACTACCGTTGAAGGTTCGACTGCCTTGTTGACTTGCCAGCATTGCTTGAACCATGCCAATTAAATGTGCCTGACCAGTTCTCAGCTCCGACATTTCCTGCCTCATTTTAACAACCTGCAAATGCAACCCCTCTGTGTGGTGTGCAAGCGTATTATAGTGATCCATTAGGCATCGCCTATCCACCAATGTTGTTCCGGTCCTTGGATCTCTGTTGTTGCGTGCCGAATCAGGCCATAATTTGATTTGTAAAGCTGGCAAATTGTCCCCGAAGAAACCTTCTTTGACTTCTGCCTGCCAAGCTTCAAACGTTGTCTCAGAAACTCCAGCACGACTGCAGTACTCGTAAATCGTGGAAATGAACGGATGGTCCTCGGATCTTTTGCCAAAGTCTTTATGTGGAGCATTCTGTATTGCGGTCTCCACTTTGTCAAAGTAACGCAGCATGGAAGCCACCAGCAATTCCCGGACTGTTTGGCTCCATCGGTTAGCTGTGTCGTGGGCAAATACTTGGCTTACAAACTCAGGCACTAACTGTGCATCCGTGCGTATGTGCTCGAGGTTCGGTGGCTGGCCACCAATAACCGTTTCTCCTGCTTTAGCGGTCCAACCTGCGACTGCCTTTCCCGCAAGAGTAATCATCTTGGAAGAGCCAATGACGTAGTCGAAGATTGTGTGTAGACCTCTAACTTCCCATCCAGTACGGAAGATTTGTGCCAACCCCGATGCTGGTGACTCTGCCATTACTTGATTGGCACGCTTCTTTCCATGGTGGGATGACAGATTCTCATTCAAAATATGCTTAAGGTCCGATATCTCTTTGAAGAGCGATTGAAAATAGCTGTCCATAAGTTGGCTACCTTGCTGTCGTTTCTCCCTTCTTTAGACTGGTGCAACGCCTTTTCGGCAAACTTGGGGAACAGATAGTCATCATTGTCCGGTAACATAATAATGCGGTAGATCATGCCAAAATAGATATCCTCGAAGAAGTTTTCACGGTGTGGGAAAAGAGTCAGGTTGGTTTCCTCGCCCAACTTCTGTCGCTTCAGGTACGTGCTGAGAACTGTATACTTGAAGTGCAACTCGCAAATCTGCCATGAACTCAAGTGACTCCATCGGTTCAATGCTACCTCACTGCTGCGGCCACTGTAGTGGAGACTAGCAATGTTCATCAATAGAAAAACAGCGGCATCACCCGTAGCCAACCACAAACAGCTGTATACCATAGCCATCATGTCGTCTTGTGTAGAAGCTTGGTGCGGGTTGGTTAGTTTCTGGCCAGATTGTCGTGCCCTTTCCTCAAATAAAGTGCGCAGCTTTCTTCTAAGGGTGGCCCATGATTGCTTCCCAAACACGGGACATTTGTATGTATTATGTCTCCATTTGTCGGTGTAGTAAGCTTTGATAGAACTGGCATAGCCATTAACCGATTCAAAGCCAAGCTCACCATTGCAGCCTGTAGCAAAATAAGAGAACATACCACCCATTAGCGCATCCCAAAACCGATTACTGTCCTCGGTGTTTTCATGGAATAATTGGGAATAATGGCGGTACGGTTCTCCCCGGTGTTTGAACCAGAGACGGAGAAACCCGTCGAAGTGCTTCAGTGCTGATTTCTGTTTCTTCTCGGCACTTTTACCCACGTTGTCTCTGATATCTCCCACCAATCCATCTTCTTCTACTTCCATTATGATTGTTTCCGCAACCACATGGCTTTCGGGATTATCAGCTGGTACATTATGAATGTCGTCAAAGCTAAAGTCAGCTGGTACTGACGACACTGCCGAGGTAGACACGGTGATGTCATCTATATTAACATCATTATCTACTGCTATTTCTGCCATGGTGATGATGTGTTGTTGCTGTGGTTGTGGTTGTGGTTGTGTGGTGCAATGGTAAATTTACTTGTAAAAGCTAGTACGGTGTCATTTTGCAGCTAGCTAGCTAGCTAGCTAGCTAGTACTGCTGGCTAGTACTGCTGGCCAGCTTGGAATGATGGCGGCATCAAAATGTGAGGGTAAAAGAGGGGGCCCTTATTTTTGGTGGGAAAGGGTGAGAGTTCTGCTGGCTTGCAGCTGGCTGGGTGAAAAGTCAATAAATAAAATTTTGCTGCATTGTTTGTACATGATCAGTTCTGAGACCAGTTTTGATCTCAAGTCCCTTCTGTGGACTCAGGAACAGGAGTTACAGTACCACACAGTAACAGTTGTGAGACCAAAAGATCTTCCAACCAGTTCTTCTGCGGCGTTCTCCGATGTAAAATTTTCATGCGAAAGATCTTGCTACCATCTTATCGGGCGGCGTTCTCCTCCTCCTCCATGACATCCCATGACCGTTCAACGAAACTTCATCCAAACCAAAAGATCTTTCCACCCGTGTCCTGCGCGCTGCGTTCTCCCTGGCAGCTTCGGGCCAATCACACGGGTAGAGTCGCAAGCTGCCGTAGCCAGCTGCTATGCTTAGAGAGCACGTTGTGGGCTTGCCATCAAGCAGGCGAAGATACGATTCCAAGAAAATCGCACCGAGGCGGAAGACAAAACGTGCAAGGATGGAAAAAGACGATATTTAGAACATAGATCGATATCACGATATGGGACCGAGACGGTGCAGAGAAGTGTTGTAGTGGAAGAATCCATAACTTTATTGACCCAAAACTACCGTTCTGGTCTCCAAGCAGAGATTATAATCTCACAACTCAGTATGGCAGCATTCTATGCGACCACACCTTGCAGAGAATGGCTCGATAGAAATGCGGGTTTTCCTTTTTGGAAGAGACTTTGCACGTCTGTTTTGTCGAGAACGGAGTTTTCTTCTTGCAGACAAGATGCAGATCCGCATGCGAGTCCAAAACCAAAGGACGACAGCATGGTAGGCACATCTGTGGATTGCTCTGCCTCAATGTTCTTCTTGAATTCTACCAACATGGATTTGACATCTGTTTGCAAACAACTTTCCTCGGCGTCACTTTCCAACAAACATTGCCAGGCAGCCATTGTTCCAGCAGCCACTGCATCACCGGCACCGATGGGAAAGAGAGTCTTCCCTTCGGGCAGGGCATTGACCGGGAGTTGATAGAGTCCAAAACTTTCCTTTCCTTTCATTATAGCCATATGGGCGGGGTGCTTGCCGTCGGTAATGGCAATGGCTGATAGTGCCTCGATGGCGTGAGGCTCATATTTCTTCAGAAACCCAGAAACCGCAGCGACGAGTTCGTCCTGTTGGATGCCATCCACTTCATTGTTGCTTTTCTTGACTCCAGCCAACTTGCATAATTCAGAAGCATTCACTTTGAAAATTGTCGGCCCTTGCTTGTCTTTTTCAGCTATTGCCTTGATCAATGGTTCCAATCCTGCCACAGAGTCAATCACGCAAAGAGTATTGGGGTTGGCGCATCTGGAATATATATTGGCATAGGTTGAATCGTCACAGCCTGGTGGCATGCTCCCCATTATGCAAATGGCTGCTGCCGAGTTTCCTTCCAATTTTTCAATTTTGGAGAGCAACTCTTTCATTTCATCAGCTTTAATCGCTCCACTGGGTTCAATGAGCTCGGTGGTTGTGTCTGATGCAACCACAGATGTGCACGTTCTCAGCTTGCTTTCGGTTCTCACAGTCATGGTCATTGCTTCCTGTCCGACTCGATCCTCCAGCATTTCATGCACAAGATCACCCTCATTACCCAACCCCAGGAATTGAGCAATCTTCAGCTTTTCTTTCGAATAACTGAGGCATGACAAGGCTATCGCAACATCTTGCCCTTTGCCTCCAATTCCAACTTGAACTTCACTGATGCGATGCACATTGCCCGGCACCAAGGGAGATTCGCTTGGCAACACAAAACGCTTTTGCAGGGCCCCGTTCAGAGCCACGATGACACCGCCACCTGACATCTTGAGAAGGCTCGACACTCTCATTGTCCGCTTGTTGGATGGTTCTTTGAATGAGGATACCAGCTTCCTCCATGCATCGCTTGACAGAATTTGACAGGGCGATTGCATTGGATTGCAAAGATCCACTGACGTCAGTCTTTGAGACGTGTGAAGGTTACCACGATGGCGAACGTGGAAACGACACCAGAAGAAACCGTTTCCTCGTTTCGCTCGACACAACCCACAGAGTCTCATAAAAAATCCAACAGCAGGTCGAAACCAAGCCTAAGCTCTTTCGTACACCTTTCTAAGGACACCATGGGCTACGACGCCAATCTATTCACTCAGAAACACGCGGACAATGATGTCATTTGCCAGCAATGCTACAATGTCCAAGAGGAGCCGATGATCGTCTGCGTGAGAGAGCACATTTTCTGCAAAGTCTGTGTCGATACCTGGATCGGCAAAGGGAGAAAGGACTGTCCCAGTTGCCATCTCAACATGCTCCAAGAAACAATCTCAAGCAAACGACTGGAGTCGAAGGTCATGTCGCTGCAGGTTCGCTGCCCCGAAAAGGACTCGGCCGCAGGCGGCGATGCCATCAATTGCCACCATGGGCATCGAAACGAAACCGCCTTGGAACCAAGACGCTCGCTTCGCCGCAGCACACTCGCGAAACGCACCAAGCGAGAAGCAAACAATGTTGATGTATTAAATACATCATCAGCGGTTTTTCGTCCTACGCAGTGCCCATGGGTGGGTACTCTGACGGACTACTTGGAAAAGCACAAACGAAACGAGTGCGATTATTGCAGTGCCAGCTGCCCTTTTTGCAACGAGCTGGTCAAGGTTTCCAAGCTCAAACTACACAAGGAAGACGAGTGCCGTGAACGATTCGTTCAATGCTCTTTGTGCAAAGGCGTCGTGAAGTCGCGTGCAATGAAGACCCACAAGACCTTGTTTTGTCCATCGAGGCCAGTCCGATGCAAGCATTGTCATGCGAAGATTCCGTTCAAGGACCTCGGCACTCGTACCCACGATCCGTCCAATCAAAACGTCGTGACGTTCACTGGCCACATGCTGGTGTGCCCCAAGGCCAGTGTACCTTGCGACTTTGCTCGCTACGGATGCAAAGCCATGGTGAACCGGGATGAGATGGAAACTCACCGCCACGACAGCGTTCATACAGAGTTGATGTTCAAGAAACTTGCTATTATAGAAGACGAGGAACCTTGGCAAAAGATGAACCTAAGTTGGCGTCTTAGTTCAAAAGAAATATCTGAAATGAAGGAGACGAACACAACTCTTTCGAAACAGATCGTTTTGGGGGAGTTCTCTGTAATTCTTGGCATCGAGTGCCGAGGCGCAAATGGAGACATATGGGTTCACATTCGTGCTAAATGTGAAATCACGAGATTCATCACGAGGTTCCGTCAGGTAACTGTTACGCTTGGAAAAGGGTCCACAAAGACTTCTTGGAGTTGGGACAACGACCACAACAATGGTGGTTCTCTTGAACCAGGCGACTTGGAAGATGCAGAGGGCATCTTCCTCCTGGCGCTTAATCAAGTCAGTGGCACAGAGAACTGCTGCTTTGATATGCTGGAGAAAGCCACTGAACTCGGTGAAGGCGACTTGACCATGACGTTCCAAGTGCGCAAGCCCCATACAATCGTGATCTGAAGATCAAAGCCTGTGGTTTGAAAGGGACACGCGCCAAAGAAGTCCACACAAAATTTCCGGATTACCCATCCAAAGCGAATAGAATACAAAACCCAGCTACGGTAGGGGTCTTCATCGTAATCCTTTAGTTAAATAAAGATTTGATGGATCAGTGTACGATTGTAGCTAGATACCTCTGGGGACGGCCCTGAACCAAGTCCCATCTATTGCTATATTGATAGTGCTTCTAGAGCTTGCGTAGCTTGAGTTGGAACAGGCAGTGCCTTCCGTAGAGCAGAATCACCTAGACATACTATTGCCAATGTCCCCAAGAATGTTTTGACCAAGAGAGCGATGAGAATTGCGACGGCCGTGTTTTCTGATACCCTGAGCTTTCGCTGTGTAAATTGAAGTACACGACCAGCCGCCGGCGCCAAAGCGAGCGATATGCCGATTCGGGCCAACTTGAAGACTGCTGCTGACATGTACACCGTCATGAAAACCTTGACAAAGTTTCTCAGTGTCAGTGACACCAAAGAAGCTCCTGCCGTGGCTGGTTCCAATGTCATTCTCCTCCACTGCCAGGTCATACCGACCGTGTAGAGACAAAAATTCATAAAGCAGTAGGCGATGAGCCCTGCTCTGCCCGCACCTTTGAGTTTCTTGTACTGAGTTTCCATTGTTGTGCATAGTTTCTTCCATGCTCTATTATTGGAAAAGGCGTACGACGATTCCATGACGGCATGCTTGACCTTGCTCCATGCCCCACCGAATCGGTGAGATGGGAACGAAGGCATGGCATCTTCGAGCATGGACCATGCCCTACTGGCCACCCGTTCGGATAATTGTCGTTTTCTGCTTTCCAGGTTGTTGTCTATACGCATTTCCTGTTCAATTTCCACCAGGAATTCTTCCTTGGTTTTGATGTTTTGTGGTGGTGCCTTGGTGTTGGATGCGGCCAAGATTCCCATTTCTGCAGCCTCGGCAGCTTTACGAGTGGATCTGGACCTCCAGGGTAGCTTGGATGCAGGAAAGAAGTGACTTGGACCATCTCGTTTGACCCTCATTCCCAGTCCCTTGGGAAAGACGACCATGTCCCATCCACCTTTTCGAAATGCCGATTGAAAGTTTGCCAGGGCTTGATTGTGGCCGGTGGAGGATGATCTGAGGAGATGGTCTGCCAATTGCAGAGTAATTTCCTTGGGTAGCTGGTACAGGACTACCATGGAAGCCACACAAATGACCATTTGTTCTTCGACACTGCTATCCCCATCAAAGGTGTAATTGGCAACAGCCATGGAGACTCCAGGGGACAGAACGTCATATTCCGACTCGACTAGATCCATAAAATCGACTTTGGGTTGTTGCTGTAGCAGTATCTGCTGCTCCTTTCCCTGAACTCCATAAATGTAATCGGAAGTGACTTGGTGAATCAGACGTCGTGTCTTGGGTGGCATATTCTTTCCTTGCTGAGGAAGAAAACTCAAAAGGCCATCACTGATGCCTTGAAAAGTTCCTTCGTACAGAAACGATGAAACAAAGGCGGCTTCTTCATTGTCGTTGTCAACGCTGGCGAACAGCGACAAAACCGTGCTTGAAAGAGATAATGATGAAGTTGTATGCAATCTTATCCTTCCTGCAGGGAGGCTTCGTGCATATATTTGGAAGGAGTGTGCTAATGAAGCGGTCCAACACAGCAGCACCAACGGTAGCAGGAAACGTCTGGCATTCAATACTAGTAGGAATGAAAATGGATTCATTTCAAAAGGCAGTGTGATGGACAGGTAGCTCGCTAGTTAGTGGAGATAGTGGTAGATGTTTGTTGTAACAACAAAAGACAAGTCAATCGTATCGAATCGAATGTGACAAGGAGCTTGCAAAACAAGACGATGCATCGATGGTGATGATGGCGAAGGAAAAGCCATCAGGGAGGTCAATCCTTGAGATCCCTGATCCAGCCTCTCAAGATCTGCGTCAGCCTTTGAACTTCAACTACAGTAGGGCTAGCGATCGGTAGTCAAATTCAAAGTGAAGATCCGGTGAACTCCCGTACCGGTAACAGAGCCGTTTGCACAGCGCCTAAGTACCATGGGTCTTCTAAGCCCCCTGATGTCACGGAAGCATCCCAGATAAACCGTCTTGTACAGAAGGCAGGATAGTCCATTAACGTTCAACTCCTTTCCTCTCCGCCCCCTCACATTTTGAAGTTTCAAAATTAAAAATTTTGGCTTCCCTCCTCTCTCGTGTTGGCAACAGCTCATTTCAAACGTCTGCGGCTACCTGTGAGCATTTAGCAACATCAACTAGCTTCGAAGACGGCAAAAGATATTTGGAACCATGAAGGAAAATAGGAGGAGAATCGTATGTGTGTTGCTGGTTTCACTGGCTATGCTAGCTCAGTTCGGCGCAGCGAAAAAGCGACAAAAGGAAACCACACCTCGTATTACCAAAAAGTTGCAGCAGCGACGACTCTTCAGCAAAGGCGTCAGCTTTGTGGCACTAGGAGATCGGGCAGATGATCCAGCCGCTAATGGTGGATCGAATAATGTCGTTGCAACAAACCAAGGAACAAACTTTGTCGTCCTCAATAACAACGGTGGCCGGGGCTCTGGTGGGAGCCAAAGGAGTGGGTATCAAGCCGTGAATGGAAATGTTGTTGCTGTATCGGGAGCTGGAGGAAGCAAACGACGAAGTGGTCAACAGTTTGCTGTCATTGACGGTGTCTCCTATGTCATTGACGGTGGGAAGGGCGGCAGCGGTTGTGGCAAAGGAAAAGGGTACGGTGTGATTGGTTGTTGTGGAAAAGGAAAAGGATATGGTTCAGTTGGTTGCGATCTTCCTGTCATTGAACGTAAGTAGGCAGAAAAGCAACAGCCAAAATTTGGCAAAATTGTGGTATTTACTAATGCATTATCCAACTCTCCCTCGGAAAATGTAACGATGCTCGCAGAGCCAACACCTGGGAACCCAGTCATTCCTGTTGCCACCGATCCTCCCACTGTTGCTCCGGTTCTTCAAGCTGAAACGACGCCTCCGAGTTCGCCAGAACCAAGCGAATCACCGAGTGATACTCCAAGCAGCTCGCCAAGTGCCACGCCTAGCTCGTCCCCGAGCAGCACTCCAAGTACTTCGCCAAGTACTTCGCCGAGTAGCAATCCATCTGAATCACCTAGTGAGTCTCCATCAAGCACACCTAGCGAATCTCCCTCTAGCGCGCCATCTTCTTCCCCAAGCTCGGATCCAAGCGCAGCGCCATCCAGCAGTCCCAGCACTGAACCAAGTGCCGCTCCATCAGATCAGCCTTCCTCTTCTCCCAGTTCACTTCCCAGCGGTAGTCCCAGTGAAAGCCCAAGTGAAAGCCCTAGTAGTGATCCAAGTGCATCTCCAAGTATTTCGCCAAGTGATGCACCGAGTGAGGAACCCTCAAACATGCCAGCAGGCGTGCCATCTGCAACGCCAACATGCAACACTACCATTCACATTCCACCAACACTTAATGCTGCAACCAATGACCCCTCAAGTACCCCATCTTCTGGCCCAAGTTCATCTCCTAGTGAAACACCAAGTGAATCTCCAAGTTCTACACCCAGCGATGCTCCAAGCTCCACACCAAGCACGCTCCCTTCTACCAAGCCCAGTGAGAATCCAAGTGAAAGTCCTTCTGAAAATCCAAGTGATACACCAAGCAGTGCCCCTAGCACACAACCAAGTCCAGAGCCACAGATTGCTACACTACCACCATCTCGGAACAACATTGTGGCAGATTCTGAAGAACCAAGTGAATCACCAAGCCTTGCTCCTAGCAGTGAACCAAGTCTTTCACCAAGTAGTGCTCCTAGCAGCACACCCAGCTCTGAACCCAGTGATACACCAAGTAGTTCGCCAAGCACCAGCCCCAGTGATACACCATCAGAAAGTCCAACAGAGGAACCAACTACAGCAAGTCCAACGTGTGACATGTCATCCCCTGCACCTACTCTTACCCCAACAAAGAACGCTTCAACAAAGGAACCAACTGATGCCCCCAGTGATCCACAAATTGATACTCTTCCACCAGCGCCGGGCAGTAATGTGATTGATACTGCACCCCCCAGTCCATCTCCAAGTGAAGCTCCATCAGATGCTCCAAGTGAAAGCCCAAGCTCTGTTCCTAGCTCCAAACCTAGCAGCAGTCCCAGTGGAGCTCCAAGTGAGAGTCCCAGTGAAAGTCCAAGTGGAGCCCCATCAGTCACACCAATTTGCTCACTGCTAGTTGAGATGAGCTGTTCTACATCTGATGGCTTGGACTGTTCTCAGCTTGCTGGAGAGCAATCAGCACAGTGTTACTGCCCTGATAGTTGTGCACGAGAACTAGTATACCGATATACTGGAAGAACCTGTGCATTAGGACTTGATGACTGTGCTGATGTTAGTGAGCTTATGGATGAAACCTTTATTGTTGTGGAAGACAGTGTTGGCAATACACTTTTTGAAGGCAAGGTTTGGGTTGGTGCTGAGCTTACAATTGATAATGGAGGAGCATGCATTCCTTCTTCCTTGATTGTCTCGGTAATCTCAGAAGAGCATTTGGAACAACAACATTTAGTTGATGTTGATCTGGCTCAGACTGTCACTGTAGATTCCTCATGCAGTGGGGATGTAACCTTGCTGGATGAATTTGGAGCCCTGACGTTTACTGGTTACCAATGTGCTAACCAAGTTGCTCGCAATTGTTCCATGGGTGTTGTATACAATGTAACTACAACCAATGTTGGCAATGGTCCACAGGAGATCACAAGCTTTAATTTTGATCTCAATGGTGATGCTACTGTCATTGATGCTGGGCTGCCAACCTTGGAGCCACAATCTGGATTTGCCGTTATGCAGCCAAAACAGATTGATCTTTGCACTAGTGCTGAGTATGGCGCCTCATCTCAAGTGGAGGCAACTATGCCAGGTGCTACTCTGCAGTGCCAAGGTGATGCAGAGGTATCGTTTACAATCATTGCTCCTACTCCACTCCCCACCAAAAGGCCAAGCAGTTCACCAAGCAGTGCTCCGAGTGGATCTCCAAGCTCAACTCCAAGTGGGGCTCCTAGTGGGGAACCAAGTCAAACCCCCAGCAGCTCTCCAAGCGCTTCACCTAGTGCACTTCCCAGCAGTGGGCCATCTTCATTACCCAGTGTTCAGCCAAGTGCTGTTCCAAGTGCAGTTCCAAGTACCGCTCCCTCTTTGGCCCCTAGTGAGCCAGAGATAGCAATACTACCACCATCAGATTCTAATGTCATTGACACACCCAGTCCAACAGAGAATCCAACAAGTCCTCCCATCCTCAATGCTAATACAGCAAAACCAAGTGCTAGCCCCAGCAACAGCCCCTCCTCCGGACCAAGCTCAGTGCCTAGCAGCCAGCCAAGCAGCTCCCCTAGTGAATCTCCCAGTGCCACTCCTAGCTCTAACCCCAGTGGAAGCCCTTCTGCTTTGCCCAGTACTCAACCAAGTAGCTCACCAAGTAATGTCCCCACCAATGTCCCTACAATGGCCCCATCTGATCCGCAAGTAGTTACGCTCTCTCCAATGAGCAACAACATAGTTGGCAAGCCATCAAGTGCACCAAGTAGATTTACAAAGGCCCCTACATTGATACCAACATTGACACCAACATGTCATACAGAAAACCCCAGTGACAGCCCTTCTATCTCTCCAAGCACTGCTCCAAGCTCAGGACCCAGTGAGAGTCCCTCTTCAACCCCTAGTACATCTCCCAGCAACCATCCAAGCATGACTCCCAGCAGCTCACCCAGTGATGTTCCCAGTGCTGCACCAACCCCACTAGCACCATGTGAGGTATCTGTTGAGATGGACTGTGCAACAACAGATGGAACAGAATGCACACAGCTCAATGGTGAACAGTTTGTTGAATGTGATTGTCCTGATAGTTGTGCAAGAGAGCTGGTGTATCGCTACACTGGTGCAACCTGTGCATCTAGCCTGGTTGGATGCACAGATACTAACCCATTGACCACTGAAGCAACCATTGTCATTGAAAGCGAGGGTACTACGCTTTTTGATGCAGTTGTTCGTTTGGGCACAGACATCACAATCACAAACGGTGGACAATGTATTCCTGACTCATTGCAGGCCACAGTGAGCCAAAGCTATGGAAGCCAACCATCGCAAACAGTGATTATCGATTCTACCTGTGGTGGAGATGTCACGCTACTTGATGGCTTTGGTTCCCTAGAGTTTGCCGGATACACATGTGCCGACAATGATGTGCACAATTGCTATGTGGATGCAGTGTTCACTGTTACAACTACAAATATTGGCACTGTTGAGCAATCTCTTGCAAACTGCACTTTCTCTTTCAATGGAGAATCCACTGACTACAATCTGGCCCTTCCAACATTGGAACCACAGGGGACATTTGTTTCTCAAAAACCAGCTCAAATTGACCTGTGCACTTCCCAGCAACACTATGCCACATCTTTTGTAGTGGCTATGGGGACGCAAAGTGGAGATGCATGTGCAGCAAATACTGGAGTTACATTTGAGATCAACACAGGTACACCATTTCCTAGTCCTAGTCCTAGCAGTTCCCCAAGTGCACATCCCAGTAACAGCCCAAGCACTACCCCAAGCAGCACTCCCAGCGCTACGCCAAGTTCATCACCTACTCCCAAACCCACTCTTGTTCTGGTGGTGCAGCCTTCTTTGAACCTAGTTGCGGAGGAACCATCAGCATCCCCGAGTTCAGATCCCAGTACTAGCCCAAGCAGCATCCCGAGCAGCACTCCCAGTACCACTCCCAGCAGCATCCCAAGCACTAGCCCAAGCAGTATCCCGAGCACAACCCCTAGCAGCACTCCCAGTACCACTCCAAGCACTAGGCCCAGTGCATCCCCAAGCAGCTGGCCAAGCTCATCGCCGACTCCCAAGCCATCTCTTGTTCTGGTGGTGCAGCCTTCTTTGAACCTAGTAGCGGAGGAACCATCAGCATCCCCAAGTGCAGATCCCAGTACTAGCCCAAGCAGCATCCCGAGCACAACCCCTAGCAGCACTCCCAGTACCACTCCCAGCACTAGGCCCAGTGCATCGCCAAGCAGCTGGCCAAGTCCATCACCATCAGCATCCCCAGTTGCATCCACTCTTGCACCTGTCAGAACTCTAACAATACCGCCCACCAGCATGGCCGCGTGTGGTACTGATACTGAGACATGCCCGGATGGATCAGTTGTTGGGCGTAACATAGCTGACAACTGTGAATTCTTCTCTTGTCCCAAGCCGCAACCTGTGGCGACTCTTGCTCCTAGAGCAACGCCATCTCCGGTCAACAACGCAGATTTTCCGCTTGTTAGCACTTTCAGCGGTGACAATCTATTCGGTCCATGTCAAGCTGACAGAGGCGGTCTTTTTGGATGGGGAAACGAAGACGAAGAAGCAATTCTAGAGTTCAAGTATGAACTGGAGACAAGGCCAAATATCGATGTTGACGACAGACTCATTTTCACCCTACAAAAAGTCATGATGGAAAACGTTTTGCCGGCCCTCTTCCCCGACCAGTGCAAAGGGTCCCATGGATTGAACAGGGACAGAGCACGACGCCTCCGCAACTTGATCGTGGTCGGCGTCAGTGCATTTCCCCAGGATAGGATTATCCCAACGCGTAAGTGTCTCCTTGCTTGAATCTTGTTTGAGTTTTGTGGTAGTCCTAATTGATTTGCTTATGATGTTTACGTCGTGTTTGCAGGCGAATGCGAAACCCCACTACAGAGCCCCAACAACAGCTGCGTTGTCGTCAGCGGATTTCTTTCGATCTACACCGACAATGGCGGCACACGTGATGCAACGGAAGACGCAAAAGAAGTTCTCGAGGAGGCCATAGTTGCTGGCCTGTTCAACTACGGCAGATTGGGCGTCGTTCGTGTTTCCCTTGTGGATTTTTAGCTACTGATGAGTACTGAGTAGCGCATTTTCGACGGGCCAGATTCCCTCTCCCCTCCAAACAATGTTGCCGCTGCTTATTTGAAGAAGATATGATCCTGAGTGGGTGTGACCAAGACTCATCTCTTCCCGCGACGAATCCAAGGTGTACAGTAGACATTCGCGTGGACCTCAGCAGTAGGAATAACAATACATAGACAAACCCTGCATTTATTTGTATACAAGTACTACTAAGTACGTACCACTCATCACTGCGGTCCCCTTCAAAGTGAAAGTGAAGGCAACTGGCTCAAGAATTCCTCTATTACGGTCGACGGCCGCTGGTAAAGTATCGCTCCTTGTAGGACAAACGTACATCGACGATGACGAAGTGACGGCGAGCTATCGACAGCTGCTTGAATGTCGATGCGTCCTGTGAACAACATCTTCGTATCGACGTAGGAACGCTTCGATGTACATGTATCGGTACCGGTACCGTACGGTACGGGTACGGTACGTCCGAGCGATAATCTCCTCGGTACGGTATGGTATGGTACTGGTACCTGTAGCAGTGTGTTGCGTTGTGGTACGGAAAGGCAAGCAGAAGCATTGTCTGGCACGACGTAACGTCAGAACATTTACCAAGAGTAAAGGCACAGCTAAAGGCACAGTGTGCTGGTGTATCTCCATCCAGGGTAGGTACCTGGTACCGGTAGGTACCGTGCTGTATGAGCTCTAGGTCGTTCATCTCGGAAATACATCTATGTCACTGTTTCCTACCGCTGGTACCGTACTATCGGTACCGTACCATTACCATACCGGTACCGGTAAATTGTACGGTAGCTACCGGTGCATGTACCAGTTATGCATACCGGTACCGGTACATCGTGGTCGTCAGGTTTGTCGAAAACGTGAGACGCGAAGCCGCACCTTCACCTTACTTACCATGTTAGTTCGGAGGTCAAGCCGATGTGAAGGCGCGGGCCGTTCAACAATTAGCAAGAAGCTGGTCACAGTTTTCATTCGTTGGAACCCGCGCTGGGTGCAGAGCAACTGTCACATTTTCCGAGGTAATTTCGGTAATTCATCACACTTTTGATAATTCGGGAAGACCACAACACCACCACCTGAAAAGTCCTTTTGCTGCCCGAGAAGATGAGAGTTCCAGTATACGTCACTGTCCTTCTATGGATTGTCTTGCTTCATCGCACAGTTGAAGGAGGAAAGATGAGTAGTAAGTCAGAATGTTCCCGTACACGGGAAGGTTGAAAGAATTCTCCTCACGATTTCGTTGTTCTATACCATGTTTCAGAAAAAAGATCCAGACAACAAAGACAAGGACGAAGCTTCGTTTCGGACACCAATAGCCCTAGCTTCGCTCCGATATACCATGCTGCCACCTTGGCTCCCGTCATGCATACGGCTACAAAGGATCCGAGCGACATGCAAACCAACAACAAAGCCGAAGATAACTATGAATTCTCGACCGCTCCGGCGTCCCTTCCAACATCAAATGCACAAACAGCAGGTCCTACCACTTTCGATGGCGCCAATCTGGAAGGCCCAACCAGCACTCCGATCGTCGCTGTTAGCCCTACAGCAACACCGACGGGGACATCAACGAGTGCCAGCACCACAGCACCCACCACGACATCTACCACCACAGCACCCACCACGGCATCCACCACAGCGGCAACCGCAGCTGCAACCACATTGACCACGACGATCAGCCCAACTATTAGTACAACAGAAGTCTCAACTTCTAGTCCAACAGCTGGTCAAAATTTGGTTTTGCCAGTGTTTACGGCCTCACCGACCTTGAACGCACAAACCGACGCTCCCCATTGCACTCCAGGAACCCCGATCAGCAATGCTGAAACGAAAGCTCCAGTATCAGCTGCTCCTTCTACTGCTACTCCATTAGTTTTTCCAACAATGATGCTTGTTCCAACGTCGACTCCAAGCATGGCCGAAACAATTGCCGAAACAACGGTACAAACCACGAATGTTCCAACTACTGCAGGGAACACAACACCTCCGCCGACATTCGTTTCTCCTATGATTCCTGTCCCAGGGGCTCCTTCGACATCAGAGGTAACAACCGCTCCCACTTCCGTTCCACTTACAGATGCTCCAACAGCAGTCGACGCGCTGGGCACGCCTCCACCGACATTCGTTTCTCCTATGATTCCTGTCCCAGGGGCTCCTTCGACATCAGAGGTAACAACCGCTCCCACTTCCGTCCCCTCTGGACCTTCACTTACAGATGCTCCAACAGCAGTCGACGCGCTAGGCACACCTCCACCGACTCTTGTCGCAACCATCGCACCGTCTTCCGGTACGATCGGAGGTTCGACGGGGATCTCTCCTTCCCCGCTGTCAGTTTTGCCCGCTCAGACTTCCCAACCCGTCGATGACAACAGTACTGTACCAGGTGCACCAGCTGATAATATTACATGGCCCATCGGCAATGGTACTACTGCAGTCGACAAGTCTCCGCAGTCTTGTTCTTCTAACGATGGGGCATTCTTTCTCCTTGGTGACATCGAGATCGCCGGAAATGAAACAAGCAATGAAACGATCCGAGTCTCCTCGGTTGTGGACATGTTGTATTTTTTGTACGAACTGGAGTCCAGGGTGGATGCTCAGACCGTCCTACCTTCTCTTGAGGTCGCCTTTGTGGATTCGCTTCTAGCAGATTTGTTTCCCTTTGCTTGTCAACCTACTTCAGTCAACCGATTCTTGGAAACTCCAAACAATGGCATTATCGGTATCAGTAGCAAGCCAACCGACGAGATTACCGATGGTAAGTTACACAAGACAGAAAAGGTTGTGCCATGCAGGATTTTCACATTGTCAAGGCTAACCAATTCAATTGTACACTCGATTCACCCGCAGCTGAATGTCAGGTAGAACCAAGCACGAAGAACAGCTGTGTAGTCGTTGAGGGGCAAATTTCAATCTACTCGACAGATGGATTATCTGATGAAGAACTGGATGCAATTAGAGAAGCCCTGTATGATACCATGAGCGCAGGGACTTTTGCGGATTCAAGCCTTGGAATCGTCAGTGTCTTAGCGGCTACAGGCGAAATCGTCGACGAGACAATTACAGACGAGACAGATGGTATCAACGAAAGCGAAGAAAACGAAATTGTTCAACCTTCGGGTGGTGATCGCAATGCAATGTTGGGCATCGGTTTTGGTCTCTCGGCCGCAGCTGTCGTCCTCATTGGAATTGGCGCTTCCGTCTACAAACGAAAGCAGTCAGCTGGACAGGACACATCTACGCTGCACGATGCAACCATGAATGGTCTTAGTCGATTCGACAACGACCAATCAACTGCGGATGACACTAAAAGTGCTCGTGACGTCGAGATCATGCCGCTTTCCCCAGCAGCAAGGACTTCAGCAAAACGGTATAGCACCGGCAGCCAGAGCAGTGCCCTTCTGCAGCGATGAAACCGTGATGTTAGTGATACATGGTTGTTACCTACGATGTTTGTTGGTTTGCTAGTCAATGTCTTGGGGAAGGGGAATACAGATTACTATCAATTTGTTGTCAAGGACACTTCCCAACAGTAGTTCAAACTTCGATAAAATAGTAAGAATGAATGAATCAATCAATCAAAGAGATCTTGTAGATAGCTTAGGGCCTGGGTCAGGTTCTTCCTGCAGTGCGTAGACAGGGCTGGAAAGGAGGCACCCAATCTATTCTGTTGATCATGACGCTCTCATGTCCGCATCGTTGAATGATAGTGAATGATGGTGAGTGCACGCTGGTTGAGAACACATCTCGGCTCGAGGGATGCTATCGGTATCGGTACGGTACGAGGAGCCTCAAACATAGTAATTGGTACTCGTACAAAATGGGCTCACATGTATAGTTTGAACGGTTCACCGAATTGGAGCCACCCCAGAGTTAGTGTGTGGCAACCATCCCCTTGCACAACTTGCTTGGGTTCCAGCTTGCTGCCCGTGGAAGTCCATCAAAGGATGCCTCCAATGCACTACCCGCCACAACGGCCTAAACAAAAAGTGAACTTCTTGTCCTGTAATAGTGCCTGGGGACACCAGGACATGGCTGGTCGGTCACCTGATGAACAATCCATTGGGCAGCACAACGCAATCGAAGACATCACCGTTCAGTTCTAGCAACGTATATCTAATAAGTAAATACTCTTATCTACCGGTACTACGATCAACCTCCTGGGAGTACAGGGTAGAATGATACACATCTTGAGCCATGTATGTTCGGATTCCAAAAAGTCCCTTGTTGATTTTTTTTGCCTGCAGTCACGCTGTGGTTTCTTTGACTACGTGATGCCATTGCATCTACCGGTAGTACCGGTATGTAAGTTGGTGGCGGGCTTTACTTTGCTTAGGCTTCTTGCGGTCAAATGCTCTTGGGAAGAAGGGACACAAATGCAAAAAGAAGAAATGGGGAGGATTTTACTGGAGGGATGGCGTCTCCTGCAGCTGAGATGCATTCGGAGCCAAGGTTGTACCACCGTCATGCTCAGCGGCACGACGGCGTCTTCGGTAAAACACGGCAGTTCCAACCATAATGAACGCTCCCGCAGCCAACAATGCATAGAAACTACTGGAGAGAGTTGCGCTGTTCCCTCCTGGTTGTCCTTGTTGAATTTCTTCTCCGTTGTTTTCCGAGACAATATCCGAAGAAATGTCGACGTACCGCACCTTTTGAATGTACGGGTGGGCATTATCCAACTGCTGATCGTCGTTCATGAGTGTCTCAAGCATCCTTGCCATGGTCTCATCCAATTCTTCGAAGACGTCGAGGTAGATGACGAACTCTCCATCGACTACTAAGCATGGACCATCAGTTTCATTGACAAACGCTCGGCAAGTCACTGTTTGTTAAGCAAAGATGTAGAAAGGAAGGATGGTTGTGATGTGAGAAGCCTTAGTACATGGTACTTCGCAAAGGAAGCATCTTAGACAGTAATAAGAAACACTGTAGTTAGAACTCACATCCTTCGAGAATCTGATCTTCCGGATTGCTGCTGATTCCAACAGCTCTCATTTGCCGTTGCCGAAGTTTCCGCCCCTCCCCTCTCTGCTTGTAGGGGCCTCGAGCGACTCCGTTCGAGCAGACGGAGTCAAATACTTGGCTCTCGAGAAGGGCATTGGCAATGCCAGCTTCAACGGCGCCGAACAATCCTTGCATTCCAATATTAGATCCTTCTCCAACCGATCGCGATTCTAAGTCTGAACCGAACAGAGTGTCTTGAAGGTACTCTCCATTCTTCAGCGTCAATTCGTATTGATAAGAGATATAGGCCTCGAACTTGGCAGTTGAACCAAAGAATCCTCGTTGGGTAGCGCATGGGTTTCCTTGCGGCGATTCGACGTCCCACTCACGAGCATCGTAGTGATGAGTATGATCGACGATACCCGCGCTCCCGACACTTTTGGGGAGAGCTAGGAGTAAAAGCGTCACAACTGGAAAGCAAGATAGATGGAACATGATGAAAAAATGAAGTAATGTTTTGCTACCCTTGTTGCTTTTCTCGAAGGAAATAATGGCAAATTGTGGGCTCTGATCTGGACTGAGCTCGAAGTCGTTTGGCGGTTGAAAACAGCTCGAGATTCTCCTAAATGTGACAAAACGGTCCTAAACGGTCCTATAGGAGTGTGACATCGTTTTTGCAACGTCAAGCTTAGCTCTAACCCTATTTCTATCCACGAATGACCACACGAACTCAACGGCACTCACAAGAAATTTTGTCCTTGCCTCCACTACCAACGCGAGTCAAATGATTTTCGTCACAAGACCGATCGCAAGATAGCGACCATCATTACTGTACAAGACCACCGTCAGGAAGCAGAGATTCTCATTTTTACAATGCCCACCATGAGGTTTGTTCCTACCACGAAACAGGCGTGGGTAGCAGCGGGATGTGTTGCTGCTGCCGTGCTTTGGGTTGCTACACAATCATCTAGTACCGGCGATGGATTCTATCCTCATCGGCGCCTCGACATGTCCTTTCACATGAGTGCCATTGGAGAAAGAAACGTTAAGCCCATGTATGACATGACGCAATTGCAATACATGTCCTCGCCATGTCGCCCCGAGACGGACGGGTACTTTGGCTCCACTTCCGGGACACCCTTGGAGATTCAATTTGGTTTTGAATTGGAGACAGAAGACGAAGACCCTGTTGAATTTCTACTGGAGGAAATCCAGGAACAAGTTGTAGATGTAGTGCTTTCAACTACGTTTCCCAATCTATGTGGATTCCGACGTCGAGAAAGAGAGCGACACTTGAGCATGAGAGGATTATCCAGCCAAGAGAGTCAGTTGAAGGCAAAGCCTCGCACTACAGGGTTCAAGTTCCACATGGACCTAGACAATCGATCAGGTATGTACAACGATGTTAAGAAGTCAATGTTTATAATACTTGAACACAGATTGGTATCATGCAGGTATCTCACCTTTAGCTGCTGTGCTTCCAAAAACAACTATCCTGAAACCAGAAATTTGCGCCCCCATGGCGGACCCTACCAATCTCTGTGGCGTCTACAAGAATACCATCGGCATCTACGGACGTCATTTGACAGGTGTCGGGGAGCACCTGCTGTCCCAAATCAAGGATACACTGAATGGAGAACGAGAACGACTTTCCAAAGATGGGCTGGTTAGACTCACAACTCTGGATAGTCTGACGATGCAAACCAATGACTATGGACCACAACCATCAGGAATCGATGCACTGTCCTTTGCTGCAAAGGCTGGCATTGTGGTTGTCATTATTGCCTTGGTAGCCGGATTTGCAACCTTCTTTGTTTACGTTTATCTGGAACGCCAAAAGGAGCGACGGGATGCGACGTACGGCCCACAAGGCAAAAACATCACCTCGAACGGCACGGTGGGATGTGAAGAAGAAGCCAGTCACATCTCGGAAACTGTTGGCTTGCGAGATGGAACCGCTGTAATTCTTGAAGGTGGAAGACCTGTAATCATTGAGTTTGAGAAGGGTTCGAGGGGCTCCAAGAGCTCCCGATCCAAAGATGCCATTGAAGAAGAACGAAGTGAATGCAACTCAACGTTGTACTCTCACGAATCTGCAGATGGCCGTTCGGCTTCTTCTCAGTACGTTCCCCAGAGTCCTCGGCAGCAGCAACAACAACTCCGCAGTGTCAGTAGCGCTGTGATCGAAGAAGAAAAGGAACCGGAGGACAGTGAAACCGTGGACGGAACAAACACACTACAACATGCAAGTGCGTCTGTCAAACCAGCTGCTCCAATGATGGGTCAATCGGTGGCATCCTTTACAGAGTACACAGAACAGACTGCAACCGACAATGACAGGGCTGGAGAGTTCACCTAAGCTTCCATTGATGATTCCATTTATTTTGGTTGTAACATTACTTGTCTGAGCTGACGGACTTCTCTTCCCAGCAAGAGCGATGTTTCGTGTCAACACCGATAAACTTTGATTGAGCAACTGTACATGTTGCTATATCTGGTAGAGCCTTTCCTTTTCCTACTCCTAATTCATTCATAAGCCCATACATGTTTCAGACCCTCTGTGTCCTCAAATAATGTTGGTTGCACTATCACCGCCCTTTATCATCATCTGCTTATCTGAGCAAGGAGCAACACCATTGTTGGTGCCGGTTATGGTACCGGTAGGTACCTGGTACCGGTACTACTAGCAGTACCGTATTTCGTCTCCCGGAGACGATTTGCTTTTAGGGGTAAGGGTACCGATGGGGAGTGGAGGTTTGAATTATACCCCGCGTGCATTACTTAGAGGCCTCTGTAGAAGTCTACGTATTCGACTAGTATTGTATTGACGGGATACAGCCAACGCATGTACATGCACATGAAAGTCGCCTTGCGTTCTTCACATTTTTCGCATGAATGAGGGATCCGTTTCGGGGCGAAGCAGAGAAAGGGATGAGCGTGCGGAGCGCGCGAATACTGTTTCAATAAAGCGAGTTAGGTGTTGGTAATAAAAGATTTATGGAAACGGAGACGAGCCAGGAGGCATATGAATGGGTTGGGAGCAAACCTATTTTCCCCGCCAAAGTTTGCGCTCATACAGCTCAACTGGCTATTTTATACCGATTTTGCGCGGCGAGAGACGCTATCTATCTGGTGACAGCTGGCTAGACAGCATCAACAATAACACACAGCAGAAAGAGCTCATCAAAGCTCGGATCGTCGACCTGTGGTCTGTCGACACCTCGAGCTACCCGCTATACCCACCGGTACTATATACTCTTCTTCACAATAGCAACAGAGAAACGCATTATCTCATTGTTCCACTTGTTATCCATCTACCTACATACAGGACATTCATTGTCGTGTTGAACCAAGAGTTTCCTCGTCTTTGGTGAGCACAGGCCGTTAGCAAACCCAGCTCCACGATGACAGTTCTTGAGAGCAAACGGAGACGAAGCAGTCTTCGCCGCTCCGTGGGGACTTCATCGAAGCAATCAGTAGTACTACCTGCGAGTAGAGCGAAACGAACGCCTACAAAGAAAAAGAAGAAGTTTCCATTGGGGCTGCTTGCTGGTGAGGAGCACAAGTTCCATCTATCTTCAAAAGAGAGACCAAACCTGGACATCAATACAGAGACCGTCATGCGAAACGAGGTTGAAGACTATCTTCGTGGCGAACCAGGAGCTTCCGTCAGCATTCGGCATTTGGTGGACGCATTATCACAGAGCAACCGAATCAAAAATGCTTATGCCAAGCAAAAGGAGAGCCTTTTTGGCCCAATTTCGCGTCGGTTAAAACATCTCATGGCCATTGCCAGGGGACAAAATAATCCTGCCTTGGAGGCACGGTACCAAATAACCACGGTGCTCCGTTTGATCTCGAGACGGCCAAGCGCTACTGCCAAACTGGTGAACTCTTGGGATGACCTAAAGAAAGAGCTTTCTTTGGACATGGACTTTGCGGAACCGTCGGAGGAAGTATCCAGCCAATTTGCCGCATTGCGGGTCACGCCCAAATTCGAACTAGTCCAATTGACTTCGCCACCTCCCCCAATCTCACCAGCCGACAAGAAGCTGATGGGAGTGGCCCAATCCGTAGCACCCAAAAAGATTGAGTATGAGGAGCTTGGCGAAAAAGGACCATGGGCGGAGCATCTGGAACAAAAACAGGCAGAGCGTGCGGTTGAAAAAGCCGAGGAGGATGCCAGGTATGATGAATTGGAGCAACAGCTGGAGGAGAAACAGAAGGAGGAGGAAGCGAAGAAACTGGCGTCATCATTGTTGCGAGACTACACGAATGAGGAAGAAGATATGATTCAATCCGCAACATGTGGACCTGGTTGGGAGCAGGAGGTGCTTCAATCAGAAGGACCAGATACCGTGCTACGTGGCTCTATGCGAACTCTCCGGCCTGGGCAGTGGCTGAACGATGAAATCATCCATTTCTTCCTCGTGATGCTTGCCAAGCGTGATGAGGAATTGTGCCTAGCAGATCCTGATCGCAAACGCAGTCACTTCTTCAAGTCATTCTTCATAACAAAACTACGCAATGAGGGCCACACCGATCCAAACAAGGATGGAGCGTACGAGTACCGCAATGTGAAGCGATGGTCCAAGAAAGTGCCGGGCAAAGACATTTTCAATTTGGACAAGATCATCTTTCCAATCAATCAGGGCAGAATGCATTGGGTCTGTGCTGTGGCATTTATGCAGGAAAAGCGAATCCAGTTTTATGATTCAATGGGGTCCAGTGGAAAGGAGTATTTGGATGATTTGTTCCAGTACATCAAGGATGAACATCAGGACAAGAAGAAGGCCCCACTTCCTGATGAGGACCAATGGGAGTTGGTCACATGCACAAGTGACACCCCCCAGCAAGGAAACGGTAAGTTATTGTTCGTGTATGTCCTTGCAGTGTCAACTTCTCGTCTCGCCCCTGATCCATCCCAATTCTTGTCATGGGACCTTGGTGTAGGCTTTGACTGCGGGGTGTTCACTTGCATGTTTGCGGATTTTCTGAGCAAAAACTGTCCGCTCTTGTTCAGTCAAAAGCATGTGGACCAGTGCCGCAAGCGCGTTGCCCTCTCCATCCTTTTGGGCAAGGCGATCCTTTAGGGCGGGAAGAAGCTCGTAGGCAACGGTCAACGGTCGCCTACAAATGCACAACCACTTTTCTGCGTGCGACGGGGCCGTCTTACATCAAACGAAGCGTTTAAGGACGTAGATATTCCCTACTGAGTATTAGTATTTCTTTGATCTACTTGTACTGTTGTCTAATAAATGTAGCTGTTCATGTAGTACCGGGTAGCGAGCCAGCTAGATCGTCTCTATTGTGCAACTCGTGTGGGAATGGTAAAGATGAATCCTTTTTCTCCGCCATCCCTGTTGCAAAAGATGCGTCCAAGAAAGGAAGCAGGATAAGCTCAGCTGTTGTGCCATTGGTCCACTTCCTCTTGGGCTGCAATGCTAATGATGGGTCCCGATGCGTTTTCCACTTTTGAATACATACTGTGCGAACGGGAGCTTGCTGCTACGGTAAGGTATGACTAGCCAGTGAGAATCTGCACAAACCCATAGCTATGCTTAATCTTTCTCCTGCCTTAATGAATGGTATAAATGCCGTGTTCTGTCACCGGCACTCGCTTGTTGTCATGTGTATATTGTGTAATCGTCTTTGTTGCTTTGCTGTGATGCGTGTGCAGTCGTCAAGTTGTCTTGTCTGCCCTTTCTTGGTTGACTGTTCTTTGTTTGTTGTTGTGGTGGTGGTGATCTGATCCTTTCCAGTTTCCCGTCAAACATGCCCCTACACCTGCCAGACGAATTCAGCACGAGGCTTGAGGCCTCGGTAAAGATAGAGCTTTCCAGTCTGCATGCGCCATTAACCGTTGACAAAACGATAAACTGTGAGATTTGTCCCATATGAATCGAATCAATCGGATGAATCAATCTCATGCTGAGCAAGTTGTCACCAAGACACGAAGCACAGCATGCACTTACCTTCATCTGGAACACTCTGACGGATTCTCCGGTAGTGATTTTGGGAGCCGTTGCTTTTTGCTTCTTCGCAATGACGGCGACATCTCCCTGCACAAGATCATCCACCTCCCCACGTTGGCGCTTGGTTCCCCTTGGCTTGGACACAGCTGCTGGCTTCTTGGCCCCGGCGGCCTTGCTGGGGGGAACCGACTTGGCAGTGGGTGCTGGTTTGGCAGTGGCCTTGTTGTTGCTGCTGCTGGGAGGAGCCGACTTGGGTTTACTGGTTGTTGCCTGCGGCTTGCGAGCGGTGGCCGAGCGACGGCTACAACGGCTGCTGAGGACACGGCCAAGGTAGCGCTCGGAGACTACGGTACCAAGAGCCAAGAGCCAAGAGCGAAACAGACGAAAGAGATGAGACACACACGAGAGAGGATAAGGAGCGGAGAGGATATATTCGGGATATCGAGCAGAACTCTCTGCCCAAAAGATCTCTAGCACAGCCAGCCATGACGCACTCACCTTCCACTTCCTCAGACTCGCCGTCGATACTGGCAAGCCAATGCGTGGTGTAAGAACCGGATGCGGGAGAGTCACGTCCCTTGTTGTCGTCCTCTTCCGTCTCGACTGGACCCAACAAGATGCCCGTGGCCAGGCAGCTGTTATGAAGAACCTGCAATGTCACAACGATGGAATTCAATCACATCCAACATCCAACCAGAGCGAGCAATGATGGACCAACCCAACCGGACCAAGCAGTCAAGGGAAAGAGAGAACAGACAGATAGAAATGAGACAACAGGAAGAGCGAAGAGAATAACCAAAGGGAAAATCGGCGTTCCTAGCTAGCCTTCTGCCGGCAAGCACCCTTCCGCACTCACTTCCACTTTGTCGCCGATCTTGTAGTCCTTGTTTTCAGTTTGAGATCTTCGTGTGGACACCATGATGGCAAATCAAAACAATGTTGAGAGACGTTTGGTTCTGGTGTGGATGGAAGGTTAACAGAGACGCCAACGCTCAAAGACTGTGTGCAATCGTCGGCTTTGCCGTAACAATGAACTGTTTCTGCTTGTGTGTCTTTGCCAACAAGAGGCTGTGAGGCTGACTGAGATCGGCGTGGTTCTCGTCGTCGAATGATTTCTTACTGAGGAAAAAGAGTATTAAGTGTAAGGTGGTCCCCAACTTCACTAGTGACCCGACTCGATTTTCGGTACCGTTCGGGCCTGTTTAGGTTTGCCCTTGGATCAAAGGTTTGCTCCACCGGATATCCATGCCACCAGGAACTTGATTGCACCTGCCCAGGGAGAGCAGAAAGAAAAATTGGCTCTTTCTTGATACTCCTGCTTGAGCGTTCTTTCGAGATAAAATCGAGACTCTCAGGGATATCCATCCACGTGAAGTATTTATTTGCTTGATCTGCACGGATAGTCTACCGGTACACAAAACAGTGAGCTTCTAAAGAAGAGTAAGAAACTGCGTGCTAGGGAATCTACCGTGTCTGAATGGGAAACAGAAAGGTGGCTTCTGGAGTTTTCCCAACTCTAAAACGAAACTCATTCCTGTGGATTACCGTAAACGGTACGAGGGCACCTGGACCTAATCTCTAGTTAGGTAACTGTTAGAAGGATACCATCTATAAAGTCACCATTGATCTGCCTTGCTCTGAAGATTCCATATAGTGTGAGGCATCTAACAACAATAATAGAAATTTACGAGGTTCTGACTTCAAATATATTTGATGTCCAATGGAAATAGTTCTTTGAAACCCATGAGCGACGTGCACTCGTACTCATCATGTGAAGGTTGGATGCTCCCCATCCGCGAAACGAAGCTTCTCCTTCCAACCAATCTGTCTTTGGCAGCTCTGTGGCACACGTCATCTCCGAAAATTGGCACAATGGACAACCTCTTACTTAGTAGAAACTCAACGAGAATTGCTCTAGAAGAACCATTCAATAAATATGTTAGTCGTCGAAAAACAGCTGACTGATCGTCATTTATTTCTGGGAAACAGAGAGATCGGGTTCTTCGATCTTACTTGATCGCTTAATTCGAAAGCCGCCAAGTCGATCGAATGTTGCGAACGGTACCGCCTGGCCGTCCTCCGCTGTCCGAATGCTGCCACCAATCAATTCTTCGTCCCCGAATGCCATTTCGCATCCAACACCTGACAAGCACCCAAGCACTCATCTTTTCTTCTGCAAGCAAGGTTTTGGGCAAAGATTGTTTTGGTGCTTGCCGAAACAAAGAATAAGCATCAGCATGATTGCAGCAATAGAATGGGTTCCTGCCGGTGTGGCGAAGAAACAGCCGATCAAATACGAGCTGAACGACGCCGAGAAGGAGGCGTTGGAAACACTAAAAGCAGAACACGAGAAAGACGAGAAGAAGTCTGTTTCCCCACGCCAGACAAGTGGCAAGGATGACCATGGTCTTCCAGCCGACCTTCGAATGGATGAATATTCCGATGACGAAGATAATGACGGCGAAATTGGCAACATCCTTCTAGCATCCGAAGAAGACAAGATGGAGGAGCAAGAAGTGGAAGAACAACGTGTTGTGGACGATCATGACGACCAAGATGATGATAGTGACGAAGACGACAATTTAGAAGATGTGCCAGACACACGCGAATATGTCCCCGTTGATGTTGGTGCTCTAGAAGCGATGGGTCTGGGCGATGGAGGTTTGCCCATGCCACACGATTATCTGGAAGATGACGAAAGCGAGGCACAAGATGTCATGATATCTCCAGATGATGCCCTCATGGTTGTGGCAAAAACAGAAGACGTAAGTGGCACAAAATAGCAACACAAACAGAGGAGGTTTCTGTTGCTTATTCATTCGCTGACAATGGCTCTTGTTCTCACTCATTTTTCGTTTCTTGCTGGATCAGGATTTCGCTTCCTTGGAGGTTCATGTCTATGACACCAAAAATGGTAACTTGTACGTACATCATGACATACCCTTGCCATCCTTTCCTCTCTGTTTGGCGCATGGACAAAATGTGGGTGGGGCCTCGCCGTCCAGCCAAAATTTCTGTGCTGTGGGGACCTTTGATCCTGGTATTGAAATTTGGAATCTCGACGTCATCAATGCCTTGGAGCCCACCTGTGTGTTGGGTGGCCAACAAAATCCCACAGCATCCAAATCGGGACAAACGAAGCTTAAAAAAGAGAGTCATACGGGGGCAGTCATGGGCCTGTCTTGGAATCAGGTGCATCGACACGTCATTGCCAGTGGATCTGCCGATCACACGGTCAAGATTTGGGATGTGACAAGCGACAAAAATGCCAATGCTGGAACTTTTACACATCACCACGACAAGGTCCAGTCCGTTCAGTGGCACCCAAAAGAAGCAACAATTCTCGCTACCGGCGCGTATGACAGAACTGTCGCATTGTTGGATGCCAGAGATTCTGCCAAGCAGAGCATCAAATCTGTCAGTATCCCAGCGGATTGCGAATCGCTCAATTGGGACCCGTTTCGTCCCGAGTGCTTGACGGCAGCTTGCGAAGACGGTACAGTCCTAACTTGGGATGTTCGCAAATTCGCCGATAAAAAGCCACTGTGGTCCTTTGTGGCCAGTGAATTTGGTATCAGTGACATTTCATACAATCGGTAGGTATCCATGACGGCAGTTACAGTGATGCGTGTGCAAAATTGTGGGAAGAGTACAGAATCAACTTTCTCATCAAATGTCGTTGTCTTCTGATTTCAAATCACTTTGGGGTTCAGTCACGTGCCCGGTTTGATGGCAGCCGCCTCCCCCGACAGGACGGTATCCCTGTGGGATGTTCACAACCAGAGCAGCACATCACCAGAGTCAGGCATTACTCCCCGAAACTGTGGGAGCAAGGATATGCACGCAGGAAAACTCTACACTGTGTCATTCTACCCATCATCTCCTTGGCTTTTGAGCTGTGGAGGCAGTGAAAACCAGTTAGCTCTGTGGGACATGTCCAGTGAAGATGGGATATGGCAACAATTTGCAAATAGGGTGGATCGAACACAGCCTCACTGGGCAGATTTTACCTTGTCCACTGGCGAGGAGGGCATAGATGCTACCACCAGCGGTGACAGTGCAAAGCAACAAGAGCAGCCCAAGTCAAACAAAAGCAAGAAAAAGAAAGGAAAAGGAAAGAAGAAGAAAGTCCATCGAAGGGGTGCTTAACTCTTAAAAGTAGTAGGCGCTCTTATTATCCTGTGTAGTTACTCATAGCTTCTAGCATGTATGCATATCAAAATTATGGCATTGGCGATAGCTGGGTGCATCCATGGATGGCTTAATTACTCGACTGCCGCAGTGACTTGAATTTCCACCAACAATTGAGGGAAAGCCAAATTGGCCTCGACACATGCTCGGATGGGTTTGTTGTCGGGTAGGATCCATTTCTGCCACACCGTGTTGAAAGGAGCGAAATCTCTACCAATATCCTTGAGCCAAATGTTGGCGGTCAAGAGTTTGGACTTGTCGGTTCCTCCTTCTTTGAGGAGCGCATCAATCTTGTCAAGAATGTTTTGTGCCTGCTGTTCCAGATTGGCGTCCTTGGTCACATCAATGACACCCATGGTGGTAAGAATCCCATTGTGGACCACGGCGGATGCCATGTTGGGATTGGCGTCGGTTCCAAGGCGAGTAATCTGAAGACAAAAAAATAAAAATAAAATCAGAGAGTAAGTACTTGAGAGCGAGTTGAGTTTGGACGAAAATGACGACCCAGTTTCAACGATTGATTCAATGATCCAAATCCCGGAGAATATTCTCGACTCTGTCCGTCAAAAGATCATTCTACATCGCTTACCGGCATGGTGATTGCAACGTAGTTAAGGTAGATAGAATGTTGGTGGTGGTGGCTTTGTCCCTCAATGCTCTTGTGTTATGCTTTGGATATCCCAACGAGCTCTCAGTTTGCATTGGCAACAGAAAAGAACAACGCGGAAATGCCGATGACGAGAACACGTCATTGATGGCGGGACTGGTATCTTTCAATCACGAACCATTTCTAAAAGCCAGGAAAGCTGCTTTTCAGACGGGGCCATCGTCCTCGGGTGGCTTCTCCAAAAGCCACTTCAATTGATTGCATCCATCAATCGAGCCCAGTCGAGTCGAGTCAGTGACAGGGATCGTCGATGCAGTCAGCCTTCGCGAAGGGTTCTGTGCTGAGTGTTGGGATCAACCTTCTGAAGCTGTCACGTATGATCACTGTTTGACCTTGGAGATCGCAACACTTGCTATCTTGACACCTTGTGTGTGTGTGTGAATATTCTGTTTCTGGCTTCTACCCACGAGAGCTCCCACAAGCAACAAGCAACATGAGAACAAACTGGACATCTCTTGTGAAATTTCTTCTTTTGATCATGACGACGGTGGTTTCCTTGCTGATATCACGGTCCTCAGCCTTTGCCTTGTCCAAGATGGGCGTGAGAGCCGCAAATGGAGCCTTGGCTGTGGCTTCCTCGGACTGGACTGTGCGAATGTCATCCTCTGCTCCACAAGGGGGAAATTCTGTTTTGGATCCGCTGATTGTCTGTGGACCAAGGTACGAAACGAATGGGCATTTAATTTCAATACTGTATTTTTGAATGCAAGAAAACCTAATGCAAGAAAATCGTTTTCGATTATTTCCTTGGCAGTGGCGTTGGGAAAGGCACTATTATCGAGAGATTCATGTCTCGCAACAATCAGCAGTTTGGATTCACTACCAGCCACACCACCAGGAATCCACGAGAGGGAGAAATTGACACGGTTCATTACAATTTTGTCAGTCATCAAGAAATGGAAACACTCATTGATATGGGTAAATTCCTCGAACATGCTCAAGTACACGGCAACTATTATGGGACATCATGGGATTCGATTTTGAAGCTTCAAAAGGAAGGCTTGCGGTGTCTCTTGGATATTGACGTACAGGGTGTCAAGAGAATCAGATCACTCGAGTTTGCACAAAAAGAACTAGCGTCGGCAACACCAACAACCATCCAGTTTCAACCCAAATATGTATTCGTTGCACCCCCATCCATGGAGCTGTTGGAACAACGCTTAATTGCACGGGGAACGGAAGACGAAGAGAGTCTCAAACGAAGAACCAAGAACGCCAAAGAAGAGTTGGAATATGGTATGCAAGAGGGAAACTTTGATTACGTCTTGGTCAATGATGATTTAGACAAGGCTTGTGAACAATTTGAAGCCATCGTCAAAGAGTTGTATGGCGACGATGAATCAATGATGCAACAATTTTTGTAAACCTCTAGCTAGCTACTGTGGCTATAGTGCTCAGTTTTTGATCAACACTACCGGTACCATTGCAATGCTTGAATCAACCTCCTTCGTCATTATCAGTGACAAGTGGGTGAATACAGTCAACGCGACTTCTGGTTCTCCCTCGAATTTTGTGAAGGAGATCCGACTCAATTCCTGTCTACCGGTACTAACTAATGAGGCTAGCTAGTATTATGGTGAACTCCAAGGTGGCTTAGAAATAATAGATTGCTTACAGTAAACGCATGGATGATGGTTATGCGGCTTTATTTTTCTGATGGCGCCACATATTGGTGCCTGCACAATCGATACAAACGACCGCCCCGAGTCGCTAAGGAGTCACTACAAGACACTGTGATCACCGACCCACCCGCCGAGAGAAGTAGAGAACCCAATCAAGAGAACGCTCACATGTTGGCCGCTGACACGAGTAGAGGTTGAATCCGTTTCTTCTTCTTGGGTTTCTCGCTGTTGCTCAAGGTCAACTTGGTGTGAGTTTCATGCTCCAAAATCTCATCGGCAGAACGTTTCGTGTGGGAACTGGGTGCAGTCTCCAGACCTTTGCCAGCATCTTCTGTTGAAGGCGCTCCAAAGTTGGTTGTCGTTGTCGTGTTGCCGGTTGTCGTGTTGCCGGTGGTGGCTTCGATGCGAGTAATCAGCGTGGGAGCAATTCGTGTCTTTTTGGCGCGCTTGGAAGGAGGCGCCTCAAGGGTTGCACTTTGTCCGGGTTCGCATGGAGGAATCGAGGGAGTTTCCAAGCTGCTCTGCTTCCATTTCGATTGTTGCTGGAGAAGGACGCTGGGTTTGATGTTGGAGCTCTGAGCTTGCAATGGATTGGCGGTGGTAGCGGGAGAAGTGGACAGCGGAGCTGCTTCCAAAGCGCCCACAGGCGTGTAAACCTCCCCAAACTCACCCTTTTCAAAGGAAACAATGGAAACGTATCCGTCCAGGCTAGAAACCACCAACTTTGTGCCATCATTGGACCAATGACAGTCGCTGAAGCTGGCATAGTGCAAACCGCGCACCGCCGAAAGAGGCCGGGTATGATGAGTGTCGTACACAAGAATGCTGTCAATGGTCAAGACCGCAAACACACTACGGTAGGGTAGTCCTCGGCTTCTACTCAAAGGAGCTTCATTTTCCTTGCAGTCGGCTTTCAAGGGAGACTCTGTCGCAACACCCGAAGTTGGCAATTTGTACAGAACCGGACTTGGCCGAACTACCACCGAAGGCTATGGGTAACGTACAGTTGTGAGGAGACCTGTCATTGTTACATCGTCGAGAAAAAAATTTCCCGTTCTTACCTTTTCCAACCCATAGAGGACCTTGTAGGGTTCATCAAATCGATGCCGTGCAAAAAGATAGGTAGCATAGGATGGTAAATTCTTGTCATTGGGATCGGATTTGACCTCGTCGGCATGCCAAAATGCTGCTGGGGTGACCAAGTAGGCTCCATCAGTGGTCCATGCAAGGCGTCGAAAGGAGGAGTTGTGTGTGGCTTCATCCGCATACAAGTGGCGACGTTGTTTCTTGTCCTGATGTTCCGTGTCATTGTTGTTGCTGTTCTGCGTTAGCTGACGGAATTTGATTTGCTTGGACTTTCCCAGTTCTAATTTTGAGTCGGTAAGGATCTGTTCGACCAATCGTTGATGCTCCACCGGCGGACAGCAGTCGGCGGCAACAGCATTGGAAGGCCTCAAAATCTTCTTCTTGGCCTTGGAGGGTGTCTTGCGAGGAAAGACCCGAACCGTCCGATCACTTCCCATGCTGGCCAGGTATACCCCCAGTGGATCGTAGGCAACCCCTTGGACAAAGAGTGTATGGTCCATAGAGTTTTGGTGTTCCAAATGCCATTGGCTTTTCTCGGGCACTTTGTTTTCGCTCATGGCTTTTTGATTGGCGTCGTAGTTTTTGTCTTCGTAAACTGAGACAGAGTGATCAATGGTCCCTGCAATGAATCGTTTCGAGTCGGCACTCCATGAAATATCGCAAATCCCTCCTCGATGTCCACCGATGATGCTGATACTCAACTCATTTTCATTCCCAATGAGACTCCAATGGTGGCGACCATTGCCATTTCCGCGCCGATTGGGAGGAACAGACCAAATGACAATCGAGCCAGATTCTCCTCCCGTGGCGAGATGCAGACCGTCTGGACTAAAGGCAACTGTATTGACAGACAGCTCTTGTCGCGTCAGGCTACACAGATACTCAATCTTGGTGCCTCGTTTGGAAAAAGGGTCGGAAGAAGAAGAATTGGCAGAGGAAGTGGCGGAGGCAGTGTTTTCGTTGTTTCTGGAAGAACTGGAAGAAGAGGCAAAGCACAGTTTCCATAGATTGATCACGTTGCCATTCCCAGCCGTGACCAACACATTGTCATACTTGCGCTCTGCAGCAGCAGCATTGCTGGTGCCATTCTCATCCGACAAGCCGCTCTCCAACATGGAAATAGAATTCAACGCAGCATTGATTCCTTTTTCCTCTTCAGAATTCCACAGGATTTGCGGAGTTTCCACCTTCATTGTTGGCTGTTTTCTCTACACGCCTCTGCGGCTAATAAGGATGTGCTATTGTCCTTGGTCGGGGCCTTGCTGGTATAAAAAGTAAGGAAGTTCGATGGTTGGTTTTGGGTTTGTCAGTGTCAAATAGCAAAGGGCGGGTTCCGCAGCTGCGGCGCGGCAGCATGGCAGAGGCGGGAAAAATTGGTCACGATTAATGCGTGTTTGAGCAAGAGCAAATGTGCTTCCTCTAAAAAGAAGAACCAAAATCCTCCAGGAACCTCAGAGCGTTCGACCCGACCATGATGAAACCCAACAAAGAAGAAGTCCACATTCATCCCAGCCAACACACAAGTGGAGACCTGGCAGAGCGGCATGCCAGTGTGCTGCTGGCCAAGAATCCACAGGAATTGGAAGCGGCCTACGACAAATGGGCTTCGAAATACGATGAAGATCTGAAATTGATCAGTGGATTCGATGGGCTGACGGAAACGGGTCTTCCAGCCGTCAAAGTGCTACTACGGCACTTTCCCACACTGAATAATCAAACAATGGATATCTTGGACTTTGGATGTGGGACGGGCCATGCCGGTCTCTTTTTGTCGCGACAATTTTCAAACGAATACATGCATAGTCATTTGGATGGCTGTGACTTGAGTCAAGGTATGCTCGACCAATCTGTCAAGCGAGGTTGCTACCGAAACCTCATTAAGGCCGATGCCGACGACTGTCACTGTGAGGTGGAATATTACGATGTTGTTTTGGCTGCTGGCGTGTTTGCACCTGGTCAAGCTCCGCCCTCTTCGTTTGATCAGTTCTTGCGTCTCCTCAAGCCTGGAGGTCATGCAATATTTACCATTCGTGTCGGTTACTACGATTCAGTGGAAGGAGCCAATCACAAGAAACATCTGGAATTTTTGGTGGAACAAGGACAGTGGGAAATGGTCGCCAAGACAGAGGAACCCTATCTCCCGAGAGAAGGAGTGACGGCCTATGTCTTTGTGATGAGGAAGCCGTGATTGATTTCATTCGGTGGAACCTACTAGCTGCCTAGCATATTCCTGGCTACGGCGATGGCAGCAAAGGAGATGAACAATCCATCTTCAAGCCGAAACGGTTGATCCAGCTCGTCAATATCGATACTAGTACCCACATCACCGATGTGACATCAATTCGGGTAGCTTAGAGTCGAGTCGCTATTCCCGTGTAGCCTCAACCCCAAGCACGCCAAATGCGTGCTGTGTGGAACAACCCATCACGACAAGAACTCCAGTAACACCGTGACTGCTTTTTCCAAAGCCACCGATCACTCAAAATCACTATCTGGGTCATCGATTTCGTCAATTTCGAATTCGAAGCAGTCCTCGTCGTCTCCATCGTGGTCGTCGTCTTCCAGGTCATCGAACTCCGGAAAATCGTCGCGCAGTGGCATCAAGATGCGTTCTACGCATTCACATCGGCGTGCGTAGGGAAACGTGACTTGTCACCCATCAGAATCAAACCATCGATCTGGAGGGACACGACACATTTGAGATAGAGTTGCCCAAGGAGAGCATGGCGGCGCTTCGGTGTCGCCCATGGCGGCCAAGAAGCCACGAAGTTTCTCAGTGTCTGTCCCATTCAGCTTGTTGCTGTTGTTCTCGAGAAGCGCGCGGACAGAATCGCTTCCAAGGTGGAAACGCAGAAAAGGGAGAGACATCAGATTTTCGTTTCCCGCCAATGTCATGGTCCCCACAGGCTGCGCACCGCCATCCCGGGTGATCTTCAACGTGCGAGAGTTCATTCCTCCTGTGCCCCGTGAGCTGCGAATCTTCCACTCGTGCGAAGGTTCAGTGAAGAAGTTCAAGATTGCCCGATGATCGAAGGGCAGAAGAAGGCTGTTGCAACCATTGTCAATCATGACGTAGTCACAGGAAATGGCAGCGAATACGTCGGACTTGCTAGGAATGAAAAAGCGGTTCTTTGCATTTTGAGCTGCAACAACATAGATGTGATTCGGCAGCTCGCGCTTTAGCTTACGCGACATGGGGCTTTCCACACTCCCTTCCTCCTTCTTTTCTTCCATGGTTGTCATGGTTTGTTGTTGTCGACTGCAAGGTTTTGTTGTTGTTGTCGATGCAATGTCGATGATGTTGCTTATTGTGTTGTACCGTACAGTGTTACCAGTACTTGCACTTGCTGTGACGATTTCATGATCAGCGAAAGCTCCGATTTTCTTAATAAGCCTTGCCCCACGTTTGGGGTACTGTACGGTACATACGCAAACACCAGAGCAACAACCAGCAGCACCCACAACAATTACCAGCACCAAGACCCACTTCATAACGTGGAGCTACCATTCTCACAACACACCTACTTACATTTTACCAGCACTACAGTTCTCAATCACAATAAAAATTTTGCTGCAGAGATAGAATAATACTTACATCAATCAAGAAGAAGAACGAGAAGCAATACACGCTAGAGCTACAACAAAATGGGGGCAGAAGAAAGTCGGACTCTAATTACCACCAAGGGCCAGCGCCGTGGATGACGGAAACGCAAAGGGACCAAGACAAACAGGGCAAACTCTACGGTACCATTGAGGATGTGTGGGGTACCGGTGCCGGTACAGATACGGAGCCTTTTGAGGGATTCTATCAAGGAGCAGTGCAAGGGCGGAGTGATCGCGCTCCCGAGTCATACAACGTTGCTTGGCGAATTAGTACACAATCTACAGTCGCGCCCGCACCCGCAGATGTGAATGCCCTTCAGGAATATGAAGATGTTCTTACTGTGATCTCCGACACAGGCGGTACAGCGGAGGGGATCGAAGTAACAGAGTTGGAACGCGTCGATCCTAATGCAATGAAATCAACAGTCCAAGAGTTGACGAAACCAGAGGTTGAAGCCAACAAGGATATCCGGTCCCTGGCCGGTGGATTAAACAAATCAAGAGGACATCATCTTATCCCGGACGATCCCGGTTGCCGACGTCACTGGGAACCAATGCTTGATGTAGTGAGCGGACGCCAGTTCGATCAAAGCTCAACCGATCAGCGGATGAAGATGGCAAAAATCATTTCCGAGCTCACGTTTAACAAGGTCATCTTGAATGGGATTCATCAGCATTTTTTTGATACTCTTTCGAGTGGCAATCTTTTGGTTGTTCCCCTCTTGAAGCAAAGTGATATCGTGGGATGGGACCACAAACAAACCTACAGAGTGCTTGTTGTGTGTGACAGTCCAAGAACCTATGAGCTGTTTGCCGCCACGACAGAGGATGCTTCTGCCTATTGGGCTGCTGAAGAAGACCTGGAGCTTGAACACCAAGATTCTTGCAGATTCACTTGATGTGAACTTTGCACACCATAATGCTCAAGCGGATGATTATCGGCGTCAGCGTCTCGAAAGCCTCAATGCTACGCTCGGACAGGCACCCAAAAGAGTCAGGGTTCCCACTGGAGATGCAGGTCGTGTGAAGGCGCTCAAACTGAATCCATGGAATCCGTGGGACAACCGATTGATGTTGCTCACGATTGATTATGAATTGCTCTATACAAAGGGGATTAAGTCAGCGGGAGCTGCGATACCTCGGCAGAAAGACAGATAGAAGAAGGAGGATCATGTTCGAGATTGCACCCATCTTTGAAGCCAGCCCTGGCGACAACACCCGACTACGTCGTGTGTTGCCGCCCGGTATCATTCATTCCCTCATTGCAACCTTCTTTATTAAGCTAGCCCTGGCGACAACACCCGACTACGTCGTGTGTTGCCGCCCGCTACTCTATAATTTACCAGCTGCCATTCCCTTATTGTAACTCTAACCTTTACAACTCCTGCTGGCTTATTGTGCTGTTGTGCTGATTGCACTAACCTTAAATATTAATGATTTATTCCTACCCCTAACTTGTATTGAACCATCAATGTTCAGTTTTGTTGGCTTATGACTCTGTCTCTTCAATTGGGGGGGAAGATGTGCTTGCTTAGCTTAGCATGCACGATCCCGAAGATACTGAGGCTCATCTCATTTCTGCTTCTGATGATGAGGATAATGAATCCGTTAACTCAAAGACCCTCGGTATTACAGCTGAAACTAGCTAGCTTCACATTTTGCTGGACGCCACCCGATTGCTTCCAAATGGGGCTTATCAGGTCTGTAATCATGAAGACAAACACAAAGACATACGGTAAGCTTTGGCCATCAACGAGTTGCTCGAAAAAATTGTTGCAATCGTACGGGAAAGTCTCCCCATTTAATATTTTAAAGTCAGCGGGAGCTGCGATACCTCGGCAGAAAGACAGATACCGGTAGAAGAAGGATGACATGTTTGAGATTGCACCCTTCTTTCAAGGTAGCCCTGGCGACAACACCCGACTTCGTCGTGTGTTGCCGCCCCGTATCATTCCCTCATTATAACCTTCTTTTTTATTTAAGGTAGCCCTGGCGACAACACCCGACTTCGTCGTGTGTTGCCGCCCGCTAACCATAATTTTACAGCTGTCACTCCCGTATGTACCTGTAACTTTTGTAGCTTCTGCTGGCTTATTGTGTTGAGTGCACTAACCTTGAATATCCATGATTTATTCCTACCCCTAAATTTGTAGAGTTGGCTTGTGCCTATTTCTATCCCTATATTTTGGCTTCACCGGAACAGGAAACAGGAAGCAGGAAATTCGGCTTTTTTTCAGCGTTCGTCTCCTGTTTCTTCAGTTTGCTCGCTACTTGGATCCTTAGACGAATACATGCACAACCGAATATTGTCAATCCAGCCATTGTAGCCAGTTACCGTAGAGTTACATCGATCCGTGACAGTACCAAACACACACTCAGGTTCCGCTTTGCTGGCTACACTCTATTGCCGGTACCTTGCATTGGATCCTTATGACAAATACATGCACAACCGAACATTGTCAATCCAGCCATCGTAGCTAGCTATCGTAGAGTTCATCGATCGGTGACAGTGGCAACAGTACCCAACACACTCAGGTTCGACTTTGCTCGATGCAGTCGGTTACCTCGAATTGGATCCTTATGACGAATACATGCACAAAACCGAATATTGTTTCCAGCCATTGTAGCCGGCTACCGTACAGTTACATCGGCGACAGTGTCAACAGTACCGAACACACTCAGGTTCCGCTTTGCTGACTACACTCCGTTGCCGGTATCTTGCATTGGATCCTTATGACGAATACATGCACAACCGAACATTATGAATCCAGCCATTGTAGCCGGCTGCGGTATAGCTACATCGACGACAGTGGCAACAGTACCGAAAGTTCGGCTTTGCTCACTACGGTTACCGGTACCTCGCATTGGATCCTTATGACGAATACATGCACAACCGAATATTCTCAATCCAGCCATTGTAGCCAGTTACCGTAGAGTTACATCGATCCGTGACACCGCCTCACGCGCTCTCACACTCGTCGCTCGACACGTGGCAACAGTACATAGAAACGACAGGTTCCGCTTTCTGGCTACACTCCGTTACCGGTACCGCCATTTGATGTCCTTATACAAAATAACGCACAGGACATATTCGCTCCAATACAGCCATTGTACCAGCTGCCGTACCGGTATAGCTAATGGCAACAGTTACTTGATTGCGCATACAGAAAATGGGGATAGGGGGTTAGAGTAGGAAATTATCTACGGAAGCCAGATGGGTACCGACACAGCAGGAATACCACCAAAACAGTAGGAAACAACAAGAAGGGATGAATCCGGTAGGAGGGTCCACTCTCTTGTGTGTTGTCGAGTAGCTAGCCTTGCTCCTGTTCCCTTTCTATGAATTCCAAAGGAACTCAGTGGTAGGTGCACAAGAGCTGGGATGGAGAGCCCTGTTTGGTGGAGATCTCCTTCCACTGGCGCTGGAAAGGCACCCAGGCTGGCAGCCAATGCTATTCAATCACTGTGGAAGCAAGATTGAACGTCTAATGCTCAATACCCTGCACTGGCCATACAGGATCCCGTCTACTGCAGACTCTACTTGTGCTGTTGGTCTGTTCAGGCAACTACTTCTTCTCCTTCTTTAAACTATAATATAACACAAACTCTGTTTTGCGTGAAACTCCATCCAGCCATGCAGATACAGATCCATGCATCTCTTTTGGCTGGTATATACCAAGCTATCTTCTAGATAGGTCATGGCTGAGGATTGCATCATCCTTCCTTGCAGAGGAACTCTATGTCCTCTACAGCTGTTCCTATCTTGTCTGATGGTGACACAGCTCATTGTACTGAAAGAGTGTACAGATGCAGCAGCGATCTTTCCACCAGACTGAGCCAGCACAGCTGCGCCGCACCCATAATATGGCTCCTATGGCATAATCTCATCGCCTTTCAATGAGTCGACGACGATCCGTTCATGCTGTTGGTAGGGCTGGAGTTAACAGTTTCCTCCGTACACATACCTCCGTAGCGGTAGCCTCTTCTTCCTCGTGTTATTCGGAGCGATCAATCGTTCCTTGGACCGCAACAATGGCAATTCATCGGCTTAACGATACACATGACCGTTGATTCTGCAACTGAAGTGCGGCTACTCTTTTTCCCACAGTAAACGCCGGCAAATCAATTTTGGAGTGCAACTGAGGGGGTAACCAAAAGGAGCATCGTCTCATGGAGACGTAACAGGAAGCAGGAAACAGGAAGCAGGAAACAGGAAATACCAAAAAAGGGGGTGAGGGCTCAGGCAGATAGACTGCCGAGGTAAAGATGTTTGGGGGATTCCCAGTCCAGTTGGCCTCGAATTGTGGTCCGCTTTGGGCCGTCAGCGGCTCCGTTAGCACTGGTTCTTGCCCCTCTGATGCTCCTTGGAGATCGTAGAGAATGGCAAGAGCGAAAACGGCAGAGATTCTCATGGTACTGTACATACCTCGATCTTTGCTTCGTTTGCGTTGGGACTTTTGACACCTTGTGTCTTTGCTTCCTCGATGTCGACGACGCGGTGATTTCTTTTTTTCTTCTGACCAATCTTACATTACTCTTTTTGGTGTGCTACATGTACTGCTGGTAAAATACCACCAAATCACCACCTTCCTCAGGATTCAAGAGACAAATTCGGAGATACAATCTTTTGAATCGCTTCTTGTAAGCTTGTATGGATTTGCAGGCGACGATTTTCCGGCAGAGACTAACTCCATTCATAGTGAAGCACCAGTAGCAGAGCAAATGAGGGTCCACAACCTTAAAGCCAGCATGACCGGCAGGTAACTGTAGGTAGTGCCTGCTCACCCAGCATTGGCATTGGATGAGCTGGCACCAACAAGATAACAAGCAACAAGTGCTTATTCTCTTGTCTTTGTACACCAACAACAGTTGATGTACAAAGCCTTCGTTTTCCTGCCTTGCCTCATCGCTATCAGACATCTCGTCCCGTTCCGCCTTTGCTTCTTCACCTTTGTCGCGCCCCTTTCTTCCGTCTTTCTTCCCATGACCGACAACGATCCCCCTCTTTCTCCGACGGCCGCCATCGCCCAGCCCCTTCTTCTTCAGGGTCTCCTCGGGCCCCGGCTCGTCCACACTCAAGATCTTCCCACTTCCATCCTTCCCCGCTCCAACTCCTGGAATGATCCTGCTATCATGCAATCCGACTCCACCTCGGCTATCGCCGCTTCCCGCTTCCGCTCCACCCTCCAGGATTCCCAACTTCATGGCCTCTCTGCCAAATACACCGCTCCTTCCAACCTCTCGGACTCCTTCTCCGATCTCCTTGCGAAATCCATTCGCAGCGGACCCCACACCCGTGCCTGGTCTCGCACCGAAGCCTACAATCTCATGCCCCGCCGTAACATTGGCGGTTTTCTCATCATCGCCAAGTTCCGCCTTGCCGACGGCTCTCTTTCAGCCCCCCTCTTCTGTATCACGGGACCCCCCGCTGTGGCTCCGCCCACTTCCATTGGCTCTTCCAACAGCCTCTTCCCGTCGGCTTCCATGCCGCCTGACACTCAACTGGCCACTCAAGTGCCCTTTCCACCCAACGTTCAGCCCGTGGCCTTCCCGTTTGCAACTGAATCTCGCTCCACCATAGCTTCCTTAACCACCTCCTCGTCTCCCGACTCCATCATTGAGGACCTACCTATCGGCGTCATTCCCGACGCCCGCAACATGTTTGAACTCGTCCCAATCCACAACTCCGTCATGAATGTCATGCAAGACCTCCCCGAGACGCATCCATTCATCGCCAACAACATCTGGATTCCAGACATCACCCCTGACGATTCTTCTCAGGCATCCACACCCAACTTAGAACTCATCACCATTCTCCGAGAAGGAGCTATCCCACCCTGTCCCCTCGCAGCACCCTCGCCTTGGCCCAAACCAGCTCCACCTGGCTCAACCACCACTATTCCTCTCGCGAACGCCAACTCCCACCCATCATTCGCGACCCAAATCTACCTCAAATCCACGGAGCCCAACAGCTCCCCTGATATCTCCCATGGAATCATCTTTGCCCCCAAAGCAATCCCATTCCCTCCCGCCACCGGCCTCCCCATTGGCTTCGTCGCGGACATCACCAACATCTCTCTCATCCAGCTCACCGCAGCTATAGCCCATCTCGCCTATGAAGATGACACCAAACAAATTGAGTGGCTCTTGAACCCCATCACCGAGTTATGGTACCAAGCTGTTCAAGATTCTCCCGACATTTTCGTCAATATCATCGAATCTTATCAAGCATTCACAGCCCCCTTCAAACCACTCCCCATGCCCCCTCCTTTCAGTCTCAATCTCACCCGTCATATGGAATGGTCAATCATCCACACAATCCTCTGGGACTACGCTCTAGCCGGTAGCTCCTCGGCCGTGCAGGCCAAACTAGTGACATACGCCCAACGTGCCCTAGCCGACGCCCACGCCCTTCCTCCAGACAGCATCTTGCCCCCTCTCGGCTATGCCTCCTCCATCTGGAACCAGCCATACATCTTTGCCTATCGTCCTCCCGACACTAAAAGCTGGCTCACTCGCTACCATCTCAAACTCTATTCTCAGTGGGCTCCCACTTACTTTCCCCTGAACGCCCAACTGTACAAGAGCCACACTATTACTCTCTCTAACGGATCTCGCGCCTCCCCCGGTGCTTCCACCACTCCCCTTCCACTGCTTCAGCTACCTGCCGAAGTTACGCCTGGCTCCTCCCAGGAGACACCCCACTCAAAATCCCCTGATTCTGAAGCTACCACTCCTACTCCCCCTCAGGAAACTCATCAACTTCCTCCCACCTCGCCCAACTCAGCTTACAAAGCAGCTATGGCAACCCTATTAGCTGGTTCTACACAGGCGGATCCCACAGCCCAATCTCCAGCCTCTGATAATCTCAAAACGATGTTCGATAAAGCTGCCGGCTCCACTCGCAAACGCCTTCATTTCCAGGACTCTCAGCAAGAATGCATTGATTTGTCTACCCAACCAGACCCGGAAGTCCCTCCGTCCAAGCAGCCCAAACTGTCGGACAACTCGCTACCCATCTTTAATCCACTCGCAGCACACTCCACAGTCGAACAGCTTTCCACAACTCACCCCTGGGCCATCCCAGCGGCTCGCCGAGACGCCACTCCGCTTCCTCCGTCACCAACAAACTCCACCGATCCACCCGCCTTTCTAGCCTTCTCTCAACTTCACTCCCAATCCACAGCTCTTGCAACTGAAGCTAAACCGGAAGCTGTCCAGTATTTCTTTTCCCACAAACTCATGGCGACCCCCGCCGCCCCTACTCGAGATGTTGTTCGAATAGCAAGTTTCTTCACCGCCACAATACTTCCCGACTCTCTCACATTCACTATATGCCAGTCTTCAGCGCATCGCCTAGATCCCTCCAACCACATCGTTCCAGGCTTCCTCGCAGGTGATTTTCTCGCGAAGCTCACCGCTGCTCACGGTAAAGATGTCAAGACATCCACCCAAGTCAAAGCCCTTCAAACGTGGCTTAAACAGCAAGCACGCGAAGGCGCTCGACGTACCGAACTCCAAGGACCCATCTGCCGTTGCGACCCCACCTTTTTCGACACCAATATCACTCAGGCCATCCAGAACATGGCATTCCGCCCAGCCTCCATGATAGACAACAATGACGACCTCACCGATGGATCCCTTTCCGTCTTCCATTTCATCCGGTCTCTCCACAACTACAGCGACCAAGCCTCCCCCCGCATCCCAGCGAAAGGGCTCCAAGCCAACGCTCTAGCCGACATAGCATACAACATGTTCTTCCTTTTTCACTTATTCACCATGGATTGGTCCCTTACACACATTCTTGGTCCCGGTCACAGCCCCTTCTCTCGCTTCTCTATCCTGGGCAGACAGTTATTGTTTTTCGCTGACATCTTCAAAGATCGATCCTTTCAAAATAACTGGGCGACAGCTCTGTCCACGGATGACCGCCTCCGAGCCACACAAGCCGCCTTTGCTGCTCTCGACCAGCTGTTTGACATCTTCTACACCTGGCACACACCCAAATTTGCACCCGACACGACATTCCTCCGTGGATGCCGCAACTCCACCACCAACTTCCCGTTTCTCATTCACTGCGTTACTGATGCATCTACACCGCTCCAAACCGCCCTCCTAGACTGGCGCACACAGCTCGGGTCTACATTCACAATTGCCCAACTCCAACAAGGTATACCACGTGACGGATTCTTTTCGTCACCCTCCCGGATATCGTCTGCCGTCCAAACGACACTGACAATCTACACACCTCTTCGTCATTCGAACGACTCTCGTTCTTCCAACCGTCAGACCACACAGTCATCCACCCGTGACTCCACGTCCTCTCGACGCCAACAATCCTCTTCGCGGACACAGCTCCCCGAAGGTCTCAAAGCCACAAAACCACTCATTGAACCTACTGGTTCCTCTAATCCACTTCCCCTAGCTCGACTCATTTCTCAATACAACAAATCTAATCCCTCAGCGAAGATCTCGATCCCTTCATTCCCTCAATCCACAGCCCCTAACGGTAAGCAAGCAGCCTGTTTTAATTATGTCGTCGCACAATCTCGTGGATGCCGGCTCTCGTCCTGCGCATTCGCCCACATCGAACTGGATGATCCCAGAGCTCGTCAAATTCCAAAATCCTACTTCACCGATCTCCAAACGCTGATCAATCATCCGGCAATTACCAATTCCTACCGCATCACCCGGCAATGCCAGGATTTCAGCAACTCCCTATAGGACAACACATTCCACATCCTCCTCCTCCTCCAGATCCTTCTCTTCCTCTCTACACATGTGCACCAGTTGATCCGCTTTACGCTGATAATCCACTGTCTCCCCCTCGAGACCCCAACCCCTACCGCCTCCACGGAGATGGGGCAAAGCATCTGCAAACCGCCAAACAGTTGGCAAAACCTCTCTATACGTCCTCTTCTTCCACTCTTGCCCGGCCTTTCCTCTCTCCCACAGACCGCATCGCTCTGTGCGTTCCCCTCCTGCTATGATTCCTACGAACGTCTCCGCGTCGAGCTTTCTCCGTCAAAATCTAATCGACCATCTCCGACAACCCCGTGTCCCCCTACCGATGAACCCCTCAGCAGCACTCGCATGCTGGACATGGGATGCGCTCTTCTCCGCTTCAATTTTCGCTATGGCGACATGATCCGCTGGCTCGGCGGCCAATACACTGACGAGCACCGTGACTGGTCAGCCGTCTTCGATCAATTTCACGCTGTGGAACACATCCAACCACCCCCTGGCTTCCCTCCAGTTGACTATGATCGCTTTCGCCGCCTCTGCCTTGAAGGAGCCCCTCTCGAAGGTCACTTTGTCAGCGACCCTAAAGATACAGCAGCTCGAAATTGCGAACCACTAGCTGCCGACCTCAAGAAGAACGGTCACGCTGTCGACAGCAAAATCCAAGCCGAAGAACAACTCAGCTATCACCTCGTCCTTCCCCGATTCCTCTGGCGATTCATCCCCGGCCTCTTCATTTGCATGTTCCGAGTCGCTTACAGATGGCGTGACCCCAAACCTCGACTCTGCGTCGACCCTTCAACACCTCTCTCGCCCACCGACACGGGCAACCCCAACCGATTCATTGATGATCCAGGTGTCAACCCTGATGAAAATCCTCCTATCTACTACGGTAATGCTCTTATTCGCTACTTAATCTGGATTTGGAACTTACGTATTTCTTACCCATTCGAGGAGATCCTTCAAATGGCAGACGACATCTCAGCAGCCTTCCACCGCGTCTTGTATCATCCAGATCTAGCCATTGTCTTCGCCACAGTCTGGCGTAACATGCTAGTAGTTCCCGTCGGTACTATCTTTGGAGCTCGCAATATCCCTATGCTTTCTACAATGATCAAAGCAAATGCGATTCCCACTTTACCAATCTACCCCACTCCCGCATCTTCCATCAGGATCTCACCCCAAGTGTGGTTCTATACCACACCACTACAACTCTGGAAGCCCTCTCCTTCGCTCAAGCCACTCCAGACTCTAAGCACACCGGCATACGCAACCCCCACGGCCCGGTCCCTGAACGCCGACAAACTGCCTTCGTTGATGACAGCGGCAT